AAGAGAGAGAAGGGGAAGGGAATAGATTTGTTCCTGGAAATGTAACCCATTCCCAGCTATATTTTGGAAACATGCATGTGGAATGTTATGATGGTTTCTGCTAATTTCATTTTAAAGAGACAGTAACACTATGGCATCTTAATTTAGGTAAGTAGTTGTTGTGTCTTTTGCTCTATACACACACATAAAATGAAGGGAAACATAAAAGCATAATGGAGCACAAATAACTGTTTACTAATGATGCAGAACATTCAAGGTCAAGCTATATATATATACACACTGCTCTTCTGGCAGCTGTCTTGAGGTTTTGGGAACACAGGAGTCAAAGAAGGCCATTAGATAGGCCATTAGATGACTCTCAAACTATTTACACAGTTCGATACCTTTCAGCAACTGTGATGTTATGAGTTAGATGGTGCGTGGCTCCAACAGGAAATGTTAATACTGCATTGCCCATCCTCCTTGTGATGTCATGATTTCTTAGACCTGGCCTACACACAAATTTGTGCGATTTACTCAATGAATTGAACATTGTGTCTTTTAAGTAAATGATGGATGCTACTTGTATGTTTAAAAAAGAGAGACTGGAATTATTTCAGAAGCCATTTTGGGTACAGATCAGTTCTCATTTTTCTGTTTCCATTGAACACTAGACTTGGATACACCCAACTTGCATGTACATCTGCTATTTCTACAAGTTTTTGTCCTTTTAGTTTCTTAGGCACTAGCTGTCCAGTACTATGAGGATAGATATATTTTTTCCAGTGCACTTTCATTCTGCTTTTTATGTTGAACTGAAGGGCAATTTCTTTGAATGTCACTTCTTTTTGTGTGCCTCAATCTGTTAGACAGTCCACTTAGTGCCTGTCTTATTTTTCCCAGCACGTTGGTAGGCAGCAATGCCATCTTCAAAAATGAGATTGTTCTCTGAATCCAGTATTGTTCTTTAAAAACAAAAAAAACCCTTCAGTTAAATTTAGACTCCTGTTTTCCCCTCCTTCTCCCTTTCAACCCTTGAGCAAGTATTTTTCCTCCATTTCCAAATAATAGAAATCAAGATGGTTAAAAATGGGAAGGAGAATATGGAGGAATTGGGGCTTTAATAGGTGGCTGTATTTTCTAACCACACGTAAGTATTTGAGAGAGACTTAGAAGTAGAGCCCTCCATGGGACTGTTTTTAATCTTGCTCCCATTTGTTCCTGTTGTTATGGCAGCAAGACCCATGGGATCCAGGGCCCACACAAAGCTCTACTCGGAAGTTAAACCTCAAATAGGATTCTTTCTAAAAGCTGAATGTAATGCTTTACATTCTTTTTTGTTTGTTTTGTAATAGCATCTCCCACCCTTCAATTGAAGATGGAGGGAGGGTATTCTCTTCTGGTATTAAGGCATAGTCTCAGCACGAGTTCCTACTGAAATGCTCTCATATGTAACAGACATTTGCACTCACTTTCTCCCCATTTAAGAGTCTGGCTCAGAGACCAAGGAGGACGCAGTGTCCGGACCTATGGGGAAGAGAGCAGTACTGATGGCTTGAATGGCCATTCCTAAGGGGCTATGCTGGATATGGAGAGGACACAGGAAAATACTCTTTTTAGTGCTGGAACCATAGAGGAGAGAGAGCTAGCTCCTTCCCCTGGCTCCTGCAGCATCAGCATGTTTACAGCCTTCTTGTTAAAGGGAATGAAGCAGGCTGCTCCAGCAGACAAAGGAAGTGGACAGAGCCATCTCCTGCTAATACTTCCAGCCCAGCTGCTCAAGAGGTCATATTGCTTTGATCAGCAGACACCCAGACCTTAAAGGATATGCCAGTCTTTTGCTCATATCCTGTAACTTGGGACCTCTGACTGGGATATTACTTGCAAGCAAACTATCCTGCTCATAACCTCATTAAAGGAGTATGCCCAATTCCTTTCCTCAGCCAGGAAGTGGAGTCGGGGCTTGTAAATCAATATAATCCACATTGACACTATTTCCAAGGGGTCTTTGACTAAAGTGTGAACTGGCTGGAGGGCCAAGTCATAAAAAAAAGCAACCTGATTGTTGGCCATGCCCAACTACAAGAGGGTGCTCTAGTGCCGAGTCTACGTTTTCTCAAGCTGACATGAAAAAAGGAAAATTCACTTCCCAGCTGTACCCTGCATGGATCCAATTGCAACTCACTGATTCTCGGTCTGGTCTTATATCAGATTACTTTAGAACAGACTTGAGGACAATATTCCCTCTAATTTTTTCCATTGTGTGCAGAATAAATTTTATGTGCACCCAGGCATGTGCAGATGTACACCACTACTAGAAACACATGCTTCTTGCTGTGGGCACTGTGGGTACTCTGCTAATGAGCTGGGTAGCATTTGAATCTCTCCTGGGCAGCTCCCAAGCACTCAGCTTACAGGGACTTCTGCTTGAGGGTGTTGTCAAGTACAGCAGTTTGGATGGCTTTCTTGGGAGCTGTTACATAAGTGAGGGATTTCAGAAACACAGTGCATTTCAGTTCTGTCCATTCCTAGCCCTACCTCCAGGCAACTGAGAGATTTTTAGGATGGGGATGGGGAAGTGGGGAAGCAGGAGTTGGCTGTTTTGGCTCTGTTTCTTGTGGCCTCTGCAAAGCCAGGGGAATTCCTAGTGAAGATTTGTCCACTTACCAATGCCTTTATGCTATGAGCACCGTTCAGGATTGCGAGATCACAGCTCCTATAT